ATTTAGAACCAATTATAGGGATCCCTGGGTGGTGCAGCGGTTTGGCGCCTGCCTTTGGCCCAGGGCGCGATCCTGGAGACCCGGGATCGAGTCCCGCGTCGGGCTCCCGGTGCATGGAGCCTGCTTCTCCCTCTGCCTGTGTCTCTGCCTCTCTCTTTCTCTCTGTGCGACTATCATAAATAAATAAAAATTAAAAAAATAAATAAATAAAACCAATTATGACTAAATAACTTTCCCTTCTTCGTTTCAGCTCTACGACCGCCAGTTATACAGGTGAGTGTCCCAGCCCCACGACCCTGTGTTCGGGGGTCACCCGCACGGACGCCGCCACGCACACGGGCACCCTGGCCCGGCTACTTGTTTGAAGGGGTGTGTGTTCCGGTCAGAGGGTGTGAAGGTCCATGAGCATCACGGGTGTCCTAAGCTTCACCGAGGTCTCCGTGTCCTGCGGCAGAGTCGGCTTGTGTAGGGGTGTGGCCTGGCGGGCGTGAGGCCTGGCGGCTGCTGGCAACACCCAGCCCCAGCCCCATGGTCCCACCTGTGCCTGCCCCCCAGCCCGCCGGCCCTGCTGTGCTCCTCGGGAGAGCTGCCTTTTCCGACTTCCGTGCAGGTGAAGCTGCAGAGGTCGTGCACGTCATGTGCAGACCCCAGAGTCACCTTTGTGTCGCCGTGGGGTTGGTGGTCAAGTCCTGGTGTGGACGTGTGTTTGCACACTCCTTGGTGAACACCTGGGGGTGTTTAAGGCCCCAGCAGCTCGTCCAAAGGGCCGTGCCGCTTGGCGTCCACCCGTGGTGGCTGGGAGCGCTCCCCGGGCTCCGCACACGGCGGGACGTCTCCGCGGGGAGCCGCCCAGCAAGGCCCGGGGACTGGTGCCCTTGGCGTCTTCTGCGTGTGACTGGCCGTCTTCTGCCGTCGGTGAGGTGACTCTTCAAATCTTTGGCTTATTCATAAGACTTTGTGGCCGTCTTGTCATGGAGTGGCCGGGGCTCAGACGTCCTCCGCTCCCCTGTGCTGAGAGGCCCGGGAGAGGGGCCGAGTGGCCGTGCTCCTGGCCGGGCCTGGCCGGCTGGCACTGCCCAGTGCCAACGCGGCAGCTGTTCCACGCGGATGTACATTGATCCCTTGTGTGTGTCCTGCCTTATTTCAGAATCCCTTTTCCGGACACCTTTGGCTCGAAGGCACAGGCACACCTCTGATCCCCTTAACAGACCCCCCCCAGGCCTGTGCTGGAGCCAGAGTGTGAGTGTGAGGGGGGCTGCCCCCAGCCCGTGAGCTCCGTGGGGCGCGGCGGGTCTGTGTCGGGGCCGCGTGGTCACTGCAGGGGTGTGTCTGCGGTCTCAGGACGCCCCCCTAGTGCTGTCCCCCCCTCCCCACGCCCCACCCCGTGTGCCCCGTAGACGATGCACACCCCCGGGGCTCTCACGGCGTGCTCTCCTCCCCGCTGTGGGTTATGGGCAGCGCGGCTGGACCCCGGCAGGAGGGTGGCGGGGCTGTGCCTTCTGGCACGGACGTCGGCGCTCCGGCCTCACACGCCGTCCCTGATGGCCGCTGACGGAGGCTCAGCACCCGGGCAGCTCCCCTGGGCCTTCCCGCGGCTCTGCCCCTGGACTGGTCCCGTGGCCCAGAGGGATCTGTGGAGGGAGCCACAGGGCACCCACGTCGCGTGGCTTTGTCTGCTGCCCGACGGCTTCGGCCGCTGTGCACTGGTGTTTACAGAGTCTACACGTATGTCTCTGCTGTTTTTATTTTTATTTTTATTTTTATTTTTATTTTTATTTATTTAATTTTTTTATTTATTTTTATTTATTTTACTTGTTTTATTTTATCTTGTTTTGTTTTGTTTATCTTATTATTTTTTTTTCTCTCCGCTGTTTTTAAATTTGTTCTAAATCTCTCCTGGGCTTGGCTGCCCACTCTGAGCCTGGAAGGGCCCTTGGCTTGCCGGGTCCTCCCCTGCCAGACCCCCCCCACCCCCACCAGACCCCTTTCCGAGATTTCATCCAGTTTCCAAACTGTTTTTTTTTTTTTTTTTTAAGATTTTTTTATTTATTTACTTATTCCTGAAGGGCACAGAGCGAGGCAGAGACACAGAGGCAGAGGGAGGAGCAGGCTCCACGCAGGGAGCCTGACGCAGGACTCGATCCCGGGACCCTGGGGTCACGCCCTGAAGCCGGTGCTAAACCGCTGAGCCCCCCGGGGGCCCCAGTCTCCAAACTGGTTCAGGCAGGAGGGGGAGCGACGCGTCACTGTCTGGGCCTCGTAGCCGCACCTTGGTGATCCGTGCAGGGCGCTTGTGTGCCGGCTGCTGCGCGGCGTCAGGGGTCAGGCGTCAGGTGTCCAGAGCGGCAGCGCCTCCTCCCTGACGCACGCTGCTGGGCTGCGTCCTCGGGCTGGATGGTGGTCACTTCCGGTGTCCGTCCCTCCGTGGCAGGAACTGAGCAGGACTTGGAATCTGCGCTGTGTGGCTGCGGCGGGGTTGATGCCCGACAGGTCATCGTGCCCGTCAAACCCGGGGACCAGGGCGGCCTCCTCTGGAGGAGGGTCTCGGCAGTCGGGCTGGACCTAAGCAGCGTCTCCCTGTTTGGAACCCGAAGCTGCGTGTGTCACTTGGGATGGTTTAGGTCGTTACAAATAAAAGTATTAACTCTGAATGTTTCCGTTCACTTTCAGGGGTCTGGGAGGAGAGCTCATGAGACAAGCAGGTAGGTCCGGGCCACGGGGGCATCTTGCCTGTGAGCGTCGGGGGGCCCTGCTCCCCTCTCCCTTACTCTGTGGTCCTCGTGGTGGCCGGGGCCCTCGGGCTCCGCGCGGCTGTTCACCGTGGCTCCTGGGGCCGCTGGTCACCTGCCCCGTCGGCTCCGTGCGTTCACTGCAAGCCTTCAGCTCCCTGGGGTCTCACGGGCCCGGGTGGCGGACGCAGCTGTGGTTGTCGTTCGCGGTGAGCGTCCCCGTCTGTCCTTCCCCGGCGCGTGGCCCGTAGCCGTACAGCGAGGGCAGCTTTTCAGAGTGTGTGTGCGTGTTCCCAGGAAGGCAGATGATGCCAGCAAGCGGGTACCCAGCGTTCCCGGAGCCCACCTGGCTGAACCCGCTGGGAGCCCCAGCCCTCCTCCACTTGTCCCGCGGCTTGTTTGTCAGGCACCTGGCTGTGCGCGGGGCCACGGGGCGGGATGCGGGGGGTGGAGAGGTCGGGGAGGGCCCGTGGGCTCACCGCGGGGTGAGCGTGAGGTGGGGGCAGGTCAGGGACGACCAGGTCCCGCCCCTCGGTGTGCGTGGCGGTTCCTTCCCTTCCTGGCAGTCTGTCCTCTTGGTTCTGGGACAGCTGCTGCACTGGTTCTCACGGCTCCTCCCACGCGCGCCGTCCGCCTGCTTGACACCCCGGACCGTCCCTGTCCGTCCCAGCCCAGCACGGGGGTGGCACGTGCCTTTTGCTCTCTTTGCCCCAAGGCCTCCGCTTCACAGAGAACTGCCGGCTTCCTACTTGGGTCCCCATGTGGGATCTGGCGTATGAGGCGGCCGCGGTCACGAGCACATCCCTGAGCGGCTGCACAGAGGGTCTCGAGCTTCCCGCACGCCCCGTACTCCCACCCGCGGCGCTGCGCGTGGCATCTGTGCTGCTCTGACCTCCGGGGCAGCCCCCGGTGGCAGCAGGGACGTGAGGCGGGACAGACGTGCCTCCCTGTGTCGCAGGAGCAGCCGTGTGGCGAGCGCTGCCCCCGAGCAGGGGCGCCGGGGCTCGGGGGTCGGCAGGACGAGGCAGCCCCTCTGGGCAGTGAGCAGGGAGTGCGTGGGGTCGGGCCCGGGGGTCCCGAGGAGGGACGGCACGGTGAGGGCGCGCAGGCAGGACGGCGGGGCCACAGCTGGTCTCGCCAGAGGCCTTGACCCGCTCGGCCCCCGGGATCACCCCCGCTCCTCCGAGGCAGACCGGATGCGCCTGCACTTGCCTGGCAGTGAGGGGGTCGCAGGCCCAGGGGTCCGTCTGAAGGGACTCGGTGTCACCCCGTGCATCCTGGGGCGGCACCCACCCACCCACGCCGGCCAGCACGCCGGGCGGGGGCTGCGTCACCGCGAGGGGGTGGCAGTGGCCGAGGGGAGCAGAGTAAACCGTGGCCGCACGTTGGGGAGATCTGTGTCTGGAGTCTCTCCTCCGGGGACACTAGTCGCCCCCCGGGAACGTGGGAGCTGAGGTGGAGGGGCCCCCGCAGGCCGCGCAGGAAGCACGGACAGAAACCCGGAAGGGTCTCAGGCCGTCCCTGCGTCCACCACACAGGCCTCAGCAGCCCTGCCCGTGAGCCACTCTGCGCTCCGGGAGCTCCGTCACCCACCAGCAGCCCACCTGGCAGGCGGGCGAGGCTCCGGCGACGTGAGGCGGGGGCGGAGCAGGCGTCCAGGTCCTCGAGACCGCTCGTCCCGAGTGGTGGCCCCAGATGAGGCCTCGGTCGCTGCCCTGCACACCACCTGGCCCGCTCCTGGGCTTCGAGGCCCGGCTTGCGTGGGTGGCTGCAGGCTCCGCAGTCAGTCAGTCGTCGCTGGCCCCTGGTGTCTGGTCTCCCAGCTCACGCGGCGCCCGGGCCGGGACGGGGGTGACGGGCCCCGAGGTCGTGGGTCGGCGGGTGGTTGGGTCCCTGGGGGAGCCGCTCAGCCACCGTCTCTCCAGATCCCCGTCTTCTGTGCATCTTTCTGCCACCGCGTCGGGGGCCCCAGGCTGCACAGCGTGGGCCTCGTCTGCACCCGCCGCACTCCTGCCCCCTCGTCCTCCCCCGTTTCGGGGGTGTGGGTCCCTGTCCTGGGCTCTCTCCTCAGCTGTGTCTTGTCGTTAAGCCCATCCGCGGAGCCCCTGATTCTTGTGATTGTCTGTTTACCTATTTTTGAGTGGGCTCCGTGCCCGGCGCAGGGCTGGCCTCCGATCCTAGATCGAGCGGAGCCTGAGATCCAGAGGTGGACGCTCAACCGGCGGAACCCCTCGGGCACCCCTCGATTCTTGGGGTTTTGTGTTTCAGAATCTATTTTTTAATAGTTTCTATATCACTGTCATAGTTTTTAATGATTTCATTTACTTTTTTGAACAAAAAACATACTAAAAATGTGTGTCTGATGCCATTGTCCGGCGCCTGTGTGGTTGTGCTTGTGTCGGCCTGGACCCAGGCGTGAAGGGTCAGAGAAGGACCTGGAGGCTCCGGCCTGCTTCCCCCCGGGCGTCTGTGTCGGCCTCTGGCTGGAGCCGGGGGCGCCGCATCCCTGTCGGGGCTCTCGGACGTGCACGTGTCGAGCACGGGCTCCCTTGGGTGCGAGGCCCACGTGGGTGTCCTGGTTCCCCTTAGGTGCCGTGGGCTCCACGTTCTGTCCCAGTGGCCCCGAGAGGCTCTGAGAGGCCCGTGGCCGCCCCAGCCCTCCTGGGTTCTGGCGTGTGCACCGCCCCTGGAGCCGCTGCTCCGCAGGGGTGGCCCAGCTCAGGGCTGTGGCCGCTTCCAGGGACTTAAACGCAGTTGACTTTCCTCCAGCTTTTTAAAAATGTTATCTCAGCTGGTGGGTGGATCTGGATGACCTCGTCTGTAACTTTTTTTGACTTTTTATTTTTTAAAGATTTTTATTTATTTATTCATGAGAGGCAGAGACCCAGGCAGAGGGAGAAGCAGGCTCTGTGCAGGGAGCCTGACGCGGGACTCGATCCCAGGACCCCGGGGTCACGCCCTGGGCTGAAGGCGGCGCTAAACCACTGAGCCACCGGGGCTGCCCAGACTTTTTATTTTGAAATAATTGTAGACTCACTGGGAATTATAAAACCTCGGTCTTTTTTGTTTTTTAAAGATTTTATTCTTAGATAATCTCTACGCCCAACATGGGGCTCGAACTCACAACCCTGAGATCGAGTCACATGTCCCTCCCACTGAGCCAGCCAGGCGCCCCCTCCCTCCTAGTTTTACTTGAGGGAACACATTTAAAGATGACGTGCAGGGCAGATCGCCAAGAACATCGCCGATGTGATGACGCGTGTGATGAGATGCGCCACGTGACACGGAAGGTACTTCCATCCTTGGTGGAGAGGTGGTGTCACCGGGGGCGCCGCCTCCCACATCTCCAGAACTAAATTTGTGATGAATTAAGAACTCAGCTACGAAAACTATAATTCAAAAAGCTTCAAAGAAATTTCAGGAGACATAAGAGCATCAGTCCCTTAAAAAGTCTTCATTTGGAAAACTTCGAATGTACACGAGAACGCGGAGAAATAGCCGTGGAGCCGACGCGGAAATAGCTGTGAGCCCGTGTTGGCGGTGCTGCCGCTCCCACAGGTGTGTGTGCCTGCGTCGTGGGGCGGGTCCAGGCCCTGGAGGCGTCGTTCCTCCCGGGAGGACCACGGTTCTGGGCGGTTTGGGTTTTGTTTCTGGCACGTGACCACCCAGCAGGACGAGCGGAAGCTGCCAACCCGAAACAGCAGGAGAAGGCAGTGAGTGTCTAAGTACTGAGAACGTTGGATGTGAGAACAGCCACGTGTGACGTCAGCAGCCCACGCGGAGGTGGCAGTGCCTGACCGGGGCCAGAGCAGATCCCGGGCGCCCCACGGGAGGGCGCGGCCTCCCCTGAGACCTCAGGGAACGCGCAGCGCTCGCCCAGGTGGGCTGCGGTCAGCTCAGCGGCCCCGGCGCCGGCCCCAGGGCGGAGCTGTCACGGGCCTTCCAGTGCACCCGCTGTCCTGCGTGCCGTCCTGGGTGCTGCTGGGTGCTGCCGGGTGCCGTCCTGGGTGCCGCCGGTGCCATCCTGAGTGCTGCCAGGTGCAAGGGCAGGCAGATGTGTGTGGCCGCCGTCCCTGCGGTGACCGCTGGAAGGAACATCCAGCCCATCAGGACAAAAGAATGGGTCGTTTTGTGGCCGCAGTGTGTGGCATGAGGTCTCCCGCCATCACTTCCGCTGCTAGAAGGGCAGGGTGGTGGCTGGAGCCGCTGCCGGCGTCAGCAGGACCTTGTTCCTGGCCACGGCTAATGGGAGTCAGGAGTCGGGAGCTGCGAGGGGGGACCACCCCCCAGGCGTGCGGGTGGCACAGAGGTGCTGTCGCTCAGCATGGCCGTCGGGCTGGGGTCCCTGTGCGATGGCCACCAGCGCCCGCAGCCACGACCTCCAGGCGAGGGACCGCTGTCCTGCGTGCAGCAGGGTGACCGCGGTCACACTCCAGCCAGGCCTGGTTTCTGGGGTCAGGGCAGGGAGGGGGGGAGAGGAGTCGCCCTGACAAGGGCGTGTCTGTGGAGAAGCACCGTCGTGCCAGGCGCCCAGGGGCAGCCTCCAAAATGCCAGCGGCAGCTTTTTCTGTTGTGTTAGTGTTTTCAGCAAATACAGATTATTTACACCGTCAAGAAAAAACCCATTAGGGCTGTGCAGAAGTGGTGGGGGCGCCCCGCTGTGGGGGCGATGGGGAGAGGCCCCCACGGGGCCGTGCTGGCGCAGGTGGCGAGCTGGCAGTGGGCCCGTCCCAGGCGGGCGGGCAGTGCGTGGAGAAGGGCCCGCCGGGCGCGCACAGCTCGGGGCCCCATCCCGCGGTGGGCGTCTCTGACCCCGTTCACCAGGTTGGACCAGATCTGCCCACGGGGGTGGTAGTCGTGCCTTTATTTAAAACACTGACGCTGATTATTCAGGGTCAGGAATTGACCCAGGATCTCAACCCCGCGGCTTCTCCAGGAGCCGTCCTGTCAGTAGCTGCAGCCCAGGGCTGTGGGGACCCCCGACCGCCTCCCCCCTCGGGGCTCTGGGCGCTCACCTGTGACAGGACAGTTTCCCATCTTCGGAGACCCCCTCCTCCCGGTCCTCCGGCAGGCAGCTGTCCCAGCTCCTGGACACTCGTAGGCGCCCTCGGACTCGAGAGCCGTCCCCGGGGACTATGTGGGGTCGCCCGAGCTGGGGGTGGGCTCTGGACTGTGTGTGGCCCCGGGGCTGCCCCACTGAGAGCTGCCCCGGTGGGCCTCACCCAGCACCGAGGTGCCCAGCGTGGCGGGCGGGCTTGGCGCGGCAGCGGAGCACGCGGACGGGGCCCTTCTGGAGAAATGACCTGCAATTATCCTTTTTCTTCCCAGTGTGCGTTTTAATAGAAAACTTGTCCCTTTCCAAAATGCCTTTTAGAGGTGACGTCGTCATTGGTAAGTGCTTTTCTTCTTTATTGTAGACTCGCTGTAGCATTTCGTCCCAGAGCTATTTCAGATTTAAAAGTAAAGGTGAGGGGATCCCTGGGTGGCGCAGCGGTTTGGCGCCTGCCTTTGGCCCAGGGCGCGATCCTGGAGACCCGGGATCGAATCCCACGTCGGGCTCCCGGTGCATGGAGCCTGCTTCTCCCTCTGCCTGTGTCTCTGCCTCTCTCTCTCACACTGTGTGCCTATCATAAATAAATAAAAATTAAAAAAAAAAATAAAAGTAAAGGTGAACCGGCTAGGACGGACGGTAGAGTCCGTGAATCAGGGCACCCAGTTTCGAAGTTGCTCCAAGAACCTGTTGTAGATAAGGAGCAGCGCCCCGCCGCCCTCAGAGGACCGAGAGCCGGTCCATCGCCTGCAGAGAGGTCAGCCTCCTCCCTGCGGGCTCCTGGCTGCGACGCCGCCCAGGGCGCCTGCCCCCAGCGCCGGGCAGTCCGGGCCGTCCCCGCCCAGACGGGCGCACGGTGCGGGCCCGGAGCCCGGCACGGTCTGGGGCACTTGGCCTCGGAGTCACCATCCTCCCCCGGCTGACCTTATGGTTTCCTGCGCAGCCTCAGGAGTTCTGTGACCAGGAGGGAAATAGAGGAAATTGGACAAATTTAGCGTCCCTTGCCCAGTTGGGATCTAATTGAGTTGAATGCTGAGGGTTTCACTGGTGGGGCCCTGGGGGCATTGTTGGAGGGAGCGGCCCCCTGAAGCCTTCCCTGTTAGGAGAGCACGTTGCTCAACATCTCAGCAGCTGAGAGAGTGGAGGGGCCCTGGGACCTCTGTGCAACCTGCGTGACGCTCAGATTTCCTCCAGGTCATCTCGAAGGTTGCCCCCTTCAAGACGTAGAGGATCTGTTGCTTTTAAGCTCACCTGCGTGTTCTTAGCTGGGTCCGTGAATGTCTTTTGTTCCTTGGGCAGATGGCTGGCAGTGGCTGATAGATGACACGTTGAGGAATCTCCATCTTATTTCAAGTCACTCTCGACAACAGGTCAAGGTACGGTCTCGGCAGGCCTTCCTGGCTGTTGCCTTGTGCGGGGAGTGACGTTCGGGAGCGCCCGGGCGGCCCCGTCGGCTCAGCGTCTGACTCCTGATTTGGGCTCAGTCGTGGTGTCAGGGCCCTGGGATCAGTCCTCACGTCGGGCTCTGTGCTCAGCACGGACTCTGCTCGGGATTCTGCCCCTTCCCCTCTCATGCACCTGCTTGCACGCGCTCTCTCTGGAATAAGCAAATGATCTAACAAAAGACCATAATCCTTTATTTTTGGTGTTTGTTTTAAAGGACTGTGTGCATTTTGAGTCCCTTTTATATATGAACGTAATCATTGATAAGTGCTGTCATAATTTTTTTGTATTTTATTTATTTATTCATGAGACACACACAGGGAGAGAGGCAGAGACCCAGGCAGAGGGAGAAGCAGGCTCCGTGCAGGGAGCCCGATGCGGGACTCGATCCCAGGACCCCGGGGTCGCACCCTGGGCCGAAGGCAGATGCTCAACCGCTGAGCCCCCCGGGAGCCCCAGATGCCATAATTCTATTTGGAATTCTAGTTGATGTTCTCTCTGTGACTTATAACCAGGAAAACTAAAGCAGCCAATGACGACCAGAGTATCTGTTTCTCTGACAGTTTCTGGTGTAAGTAGGTACGGCTTGTGGGCTCCTCCTCTGTGTGTCCGCAGTGATGATTCAGTTGGGCCTGGGCCGTGCTGAGCCACGCAGGCGGGGCTTGGAGACCGCTGCGGCGCTCCCGTGCAGGCGGGAGCCACGGTCCAGGGTCCTTGCCTGCGGGCTGGCTGCGTTGGGCGAGGACAGTGTGCGAGTCTGGTGGCCCACGTGCTGCTGACTTGTCCTGGGAGGGCCCTTGGGCCTCGTGGAGCCGGGACGGAGGTCCTGTTGCGGGTCTCGGGCGCTGGTATCGACGGCGGACAGATGAAGTCTGTGTTGGTTTCCCGTATGTTAATTTTCCAGCCTCCTGTGTTTGCTTTTTTTTTTTTTTCCTTTTTAAAAGTCACGTTATTGGGGATCCCTGGGTGACTCGGCGGTTTGGCGCCTGCCTTTGGCCCAGGGCACGATCCTGGAGACCCGGGACCAAGTCCCATGTCAGGCTCCCGGCATCTTAAAAATCTTAAAAAAAAAAAAAAAAAAAAAAGTCACGTTATTATTCTGTTGCATCCATGTAGTTTTACTAGTTGAACCTGCACGTCTCATGGTCAGGGCCTCAAGGTGTCCTTTGAGCAGCATTCCCGTAGTCGATTCAGCAGGGACCGTGGCGGTCTGTCCGGGGTGCGACGCGGCCCTGGGCGGCCCCCCTCTCCAGGGCTGCTCGGTGGGGTGCCTGGGGGAAGCGGTGGGAAGAACCTCGGAACCCAGCGTTTGCCCTCTGCCGTCTGTCTGACCCTGAAGGCTTCCCTGGAACTCGGGCTCCTCCTCTCGGCGCCTGGGGTGTCCTGCTGCCCCCTGCGCTCCCGCCCGCCGCCCCTGCACCCGGCCCCAGCCCCTCTCTGAACGCCACCGTGTCACACACTTTGTCCTTCGCTTGTTCTGCTGGGTAAGAAAAAATGCCTCATTTTATTATAAACCGTATTAGAAGGGGTCTGCACAGAACCGTAGGAACCTCGTTACCCACTCAGGTTATTTGCAGAGAATATCGAAGTGATGACCGTGTGACGGTGGTCAGCGCACCTGCTGGAACGGAGTGTGCGACTCGGGTCCTGCTGGTCGCCCGTGGGACCCTGACCTGACAGCGGGAGCGCCCGGCGTGGGGCGCCCGGCCCGGCTGCGCACTCACGGCTGCTCTGTTTCAGGAGGCGGCGGTCTCGGCCCTGGCTGCGCTCTGCCGCGAGTACTACGTCCTGGACGGCGGCCAGGCCGATCCTGCCAGGCAGGGTGAGTGGGCGCAGGGGAGGGCCGGGAGCTGGGCCTGAGGGGGGGGGCAGGGGGCAGGGGGGAGGAGGAATGGGGGAGGGGGAGCAGCTGGGCTTGGGGGGGCGGGGGGATGGCGGAGGGGGTGGGGCGCGGGCTGGGCCACGGGGCCTGCTGCTCTGGGTCCCCCAGGTGTGCGCAGCCGCCGCCGGTTGGTCCCCCTTGGGCTGTGGACCGTGCGTCCCGGCGGTGGGAGCAGCATCGTGCTCACCACGCAGGCCCACGCCCTCCCCCCGCGCAGCCTTGCCCCAGGTGGGTTTTCCAGAAGCCGCTCGGGGAGGTGCGTCCGGCCCAGGACGGGTCTTCGTGGAGAAGCTTCGTGTTGTGCCCTGAGGTGCCCGTCGCCTTCAGGCGTGTATGACGCAGACTTAAATTATTGTAAATATAAAAAATCACACGTGCAATGGCTTCAATCTACTTTTTATGATTTTCTTTTTCAAAAATAAGAAAATATTCTGTAACGTCATCTTCTGACGGACTTTCCAAGGTGATGACGTTTCCGTCCACCTCGGGCAGCGTCACCCAGGGAGGTACTGACGTTACTGTGTGTTTGGTCAGTCCTTAGACCTTGGGAGGACGCGGTCACCCTTCCCTTTGAGAAGACCGTGGTGTCCGTGCTCGCGGGCAGACTGGGCGCCGCTCTGCAGCGACGGCCTTCGGGCGCGGAGACCCCGGCCAGTGCTGGGGAGGCGGCGCTCCAGGGTGCGCAGGCCTCGCCGCGTCCCCTCGCTGTCCTTGAGGTTCCCGTGCATGTGACACCACGGTCATGCTCTGTTGAGACCTAAGCAGAGACGACGAGGGGTCGCGGCGGTCGGGTCGCCGTGTGTCCCCTCCCGGCCCCTCCCGAGCTGCACTGCCTGGGGACCACCTGCTGCCCGGGCCCCTTCCATCCCTGACGACGGCCGGTGTGCTCTCGGCCCGGGGAGGGCCCTGCGGCCGCCGCGAGCCGGCGTTGGGGTGAAGGGGCTGCATAGTGTGTGCTCAGCCCCTCCTGGAGGGTGACATCCTGCCGAGATGGCTGGGACCACCTCAGGACGGCCCCATCGAGACCCTTGCGTGTGTTGCGCTGAGCCGCTCCCGAGATACGCCTGCCCCGGAGCGGCGTGTGGCCTCCGTCCCGCCACCAGCTCGCGCGCCCAAGGTGTCCGGGTGCGTGCCGTGTGGGGGGAAGCCAGCGGCCTCTTCGCTTCCTTTCAGAGGAGCTGCTGCGGCAGTACCTGGCCGACCTGCAGAGCCCCGAGGAGATGGCTCGCTGCGGCTTCTCGCTGGCCCTGGGCGCCCTGCCTCGCGTCCTCCTCCAGGGCAGGCTGCAGCAGGTGAGGGCCCCAGGCCGCTGGGCGTGTGGCCGCGGGGAGGGGAACCGCGTGCTCTCCGGGGCGCCCAGCGCACGCTCTTGGGACGGGAGGGTTTGCAGGGGCTGCGTCCGGGTGTGGCCGAGGGACGCGGCTGTGCCGTCGGGTGGCCGTGCTGTGGCCCCTTCCCCTGCCTGGACGGCTGGGGTCAGAGGCACTGGACAGACTGACGAAGACCACTCCGGGGCCCCGGGCCTACTCGGGAACACGTGGACACGCTGCGCCGTCGGGGGCCGGCCCGTCACTGGTCATGGTTTCCGGCTCTGGGCCGCAGGACAGAAAGGGGGCAGCTGGCATTGGGGTGCCTCGCGGAGATGACCTGGGGCAGCGGGCGACCCGGCCACCTGTCCTCCCGGCGCAGCAGGTGGCCTGGCAGGTGCTCGGCCTGTGGACCACACGTTACTGCCTTGCAGGTGCTGGCCGGCCTGGGAGCCGTGACCACCATCTGTCCCAAGGACGTGAGCTTTGCCGAGTCCAGGCGGGATGCCTTGAAGGCGATCTCGAGGTGGGTCCCCGGGCCGTCCCCGTCCTTGCTGTCCCGGGGTGGCCGCACGCAGAGGGTGGTCCCTGCCGTGTGGCCGGAGCCCAGCCCCACGCAGCAGCTCTACCCTGAAGCGACGCTGTAACTTCCTGATTTATCGTTTCTTCTCTTTTCGGACGGTCGTCAGCGTATTTCCCACCCAGAGGCTCACTGACTCTGGTCACGGTCGCTGCAGCGGGTATGAGGTCTCCTTGCTTTAGGAACAGCAGCTGACCTCGGACGCGGGGGCGCGAGCCTCGGCTCGTGTGCAGGTGTCGTGTGGGGCGGCCGCCGGCGTGGGTGCTCACCCCCCCGGCGCACACGCCAGGACTTGCTCTCCCGTCCCGTCCCCCACCTGCGCCCCTCTGCTGGGCAGCGAGGGCGGGAGGGGCCGGCACGGGTGGCCCCTTGACACCTCTGTTGCCGCCGACACCAGGAGACATGATTTTGGGGAAGAGCTCCGTGTTCTGGATCGCGAGCGTGTCCCGTCAGGCTGGGAGGACAGGGCGGACGGGGTCCACGGGCACTCGCCGCAGTTCACACACTTTTCATAATTCCAGGGTTTGCCAGACGGTCGGCGTGAGAGCAGGAGGGGCCCCCGACGAGGTTGTGTGTGAAGAGAACGTCTCCCAGATTTACCGCACGCTGCTGGGCTGTCTGCGCGACTACACCACCGACAGCCGAGGGGACGTGGGTGCCTGGTAAGGCGGCGGCGGTCGTCTCCGTGCCCTCGGGCAGCAGCGCACCCGCAGGCCTGGCTCACGGCAGCCGGCGGGGCTCGGGGCTCAGAAGGCCTGTGGGTTTTCTGCAGCCCCTCGTCAGCGAACGCCGAGGCCCGTGAGGAGAGGCCGGGGGAGCGGGGGGCGGTGCTGCGGGGTCCATCCAAGGGCCCGCCGCTGCGGGTGTGGAGCCCAGCGACGTGCCGTCCCTTCTCAGAGGTTCTCACGCGGCACAAGGTCTCCGGTTATTTCTTTTTCTACCTGTTTTCTGTCGGCACGTTTCTCACGGTTGTTTAAAGACTTGGCCTGTTCATTCTGGGATCTGTGGCCACCCCGTGTCTGCTGCTGACCCCCACCCCAATACTTTAGTATTTGTTTTTTGTTTTTTTTTTCTTTTTATGAGATCTTATTGGAGAGGGAGAGCACCTGAGTGAGAGCGTGGGCAGTGGGGCGGGGGGAGGGAGAAGCAGGCTTCCCCCGAGCAGGGAGCCCGACATGGGACTCGATCCCAGGCCCCCGGGCCTCGCACCCCCAGCATATCCGCTCCTTGCGGTGCTAGTGAGATGCTACGTTCAGGATCGCGAGGCTCCGGGTGTGCGTGTGCCTGCGGCGAGCACGAAGCTTCGGGCCTGTGGGTGCGGCCGCCTGCTGCCTTCAGTGCGGGGTCGGGCCGTGCACCCCTGCACCCCCAGCCCTGCCTGCGTGTGGGACCCTGGCCTGCGCCTGCCCGTCCGGAGCCGATGAGGCCTCGGGGGCACGTGCACGTCTGGGGTCGTCCTGTGAGTGCTGAGCCCACACTCCTGGGGCGTTCCCGTCTCCCATGCTCTCCCCACCCTGGTGCCCGGGGGCGGCCTGTCCTGCTCCCCTGAACGGTCTCTTGTGTCGAACTCGCCCACACCTGTGCTCCGCCCGCTGGGCTCCTTCGGGGCTGGGGCCGCCCTCTGCCTGCCGGTGGAGGGCTGATGCCCAGCCCGTGGGACCTGCTGGCCTGGGTGGGGTGGGCGGGTCTGTGGCCTTGCTGCCCCCACCCCAGGTTGGCCAGTAACGGGGCAGCCTCGGGTTTTCACGCTGAGGAAGCTTCGTTGCCTCCGGGGTGGCGACCGTGGAGCAGCGTCCTGGTCTGGAGGGTGGTGGCAGTGGGAGCATGAGCTGCCCAGGCCGCGCTGCGTCTGAAGGTCCTGTGGGCACGTCTGTGGTCCTGGTGGGCGCCGGGGACCTGCACCTGCCGTGGGGCGTGTGTCCTTGCCGCCGGGCACAGGAGAGGGCCCCTCGCCGGCCGCGTGTCCTGCGCTGCCTGAACGTTTCCTACTGGAGTGACGCTCGTCTCTGGAGCTCCCCAGCTCGGGGGCATCTCAGCCCCCTGTGGCTGTCGGGTCCCGTGGCCCAGGGCCCCATGGCACCCCCTTGTCCCTGCAGGGTCCGCGAGGCCGCCATGACCAGCCTGAGGGACCTGACGCTCCTGCTGGGGAGGGAGCAGCCTGAGCTGCTGGAGGCCAGCATGTGAGTGCCTCCGCGGGCATCGGTGCCAGGCTGCTGTCGCTGCCGCCCCCTTCCTGCATCCTTGTGACTCGGCCTCCCCCTGCGGCCCACCCGCTCGCTGCCACCCGGGACCCCGTGCTCACGCTCTGCGGTGGGAGGCCCTGGGCAGAGTCCCGGCCCCGGGCTGGGGGGGCTGCTGTGCCCGGGGGGCCCTGTGCCCGCGGCCCCGGGTACGCCGGCCTAACCCTGGCTCTCGGTTCCCAGCTGTCAGCAGGTCATGTGTTGTGTGGCCCAGCAGGCGAGTGAGAAGATCGACCGGGTCCGTGCCCACGCTGCGCGGGTGTTCATGACGCTGCTGCACTGCGACGGCGCCCCCCTCCCTCACGTGCCCCACCGAGGAGAGCTGGAGGAGCTCTTCCCCAGGTACTCCCGGGTCCCCCGGCCGGAGGAGCTGCTCCCCAGGGACAGAGCCCGGGGTCCTCGCCCCAGCTGCCGTGGGCGCGGGCCCCCCCAGCTTGCTGGCTTCCTCTCCGCAGGTCTGACGTGGCCTCTGTGAACTGGAATGCGCCGTCCCAGGCCTTCCCTCGCATCACCCGGCTTCTGGGGCTGCCCGCCTACCGCTACCACGTCCTGCTGGGCCTGGCTGTGTCCGTGGGTGGCTTGACGGAGTCCACGGTGAGGAGGCCCCTCCCGGGCCATGGCCGTGGGAGGTTGGCGTGGGCACATGCCCGAGGGCAGCCGTCTCCCTGCTGTGCTCTGGGGCGTCAAAGTGGGGTCAGGGTCCGGCCCCCACCCTGGCCTGGGTCCCGGGGCAGGACCCCTACGGGCAGCGGTACTTCTCGTGAGTCGGGGTGGCGCTCCCAGTGCGCAGCCCGGTGGTGGGACTCTGTGTAGGGAAGTCCTGGTCACGGTGGGCTGTGAGCGTGGCGTCCCATCGCACGCGGCACGGAGCAGCCCGGCACACGTGTTCGCGGGGCGCAGCGCCTTTGGGCGTCACCACTAGCTGCTGCTTGACCCGCATTCTGGACTCCCGTCCCCTGTGTTGTGTTTTCTGGATTAGTTTGCTGTGCGTGTTCCGTTCTCTCGTGTCCTTCCTGCGGGCGGCGGGCACGCGTTCCCCCCACGCGCTCTTCCCTGGGCCCCGAAGCTGCAGGTCCTGCTCCCCACGCGGGCGCCTGTGGGTTCTCCTGGGCACGGCGCCTGCGTTTCCCTCCCCGGCCCGTGCTCTGGGCGCCAGGAACCCGTCTGGTGGTGCCGCGCTCCTGCTTCGGCCGCGGGGAGGCCCCTGGTCCCCAGCTTGGCCTCTGCAGCTTCCCCACCCGTGACGCTGCAGCCTGTGACCCTCCGTGCATCTGTGGTCTGTGTCCCTGGAAGCTTCTGTGCCCTCCTCGCTGTCGTTGGGCATCTCCTCCTCCCGAACACCCCGAATGCTCCCCACGGGCCCCCCCGTGCTCCGTCCTCCCCGGTTTTCAGACTCCCTTTCCCAGATACTGCTTGCTTCTGTGCTTTCGTACAATCGGCTGTTTATCCCTCCCCCTCCCGGATTTCTGGTTTCTGTGATTCTATTTATTACCAAACACTCGCTTTGTTTTGAAATCTTCCCTCTACGTTTTCATTGCAGGCTCATTTTGGTAGTTTTCTTATTTTGTTTTATTTTGTTTTTGCTGTTTTTTAAAGAGTGTGTGTGTGGGGGGGAGGGATCCCAGGCAGACTCCCCCGGAGGGCAGAGCGTGGCCCTGAGATGAGGACCCCAGCCGAACCCAGGAGTCGGATGCTCTACCCCCCAGCCGCCCCGCGCCCCACAGGCTCATTTTGTAATTGCACATTTTCCCTGAGGATTAGCCTGCGGCTCTCCTGTGCCCCCGGGATCTACGTCCCCCCACTTCCTCGCGTGGACTGTGGCGCGGGGGCAGGTGACCGCAGGGCTTCTTTGGCACCGGCTCCAGGGCCCCCGGGTCCCAGCCGCGCCCACGTCCTCGGGGTCACCGCACAGGGCGGCCCCACGGCCTTTCCTTGCGCTACTCCGCTGGGGTCCGTGGGGGGGGGTGTCTCTGAGCCGCCAGCGCCTCGGGGGCTATGGCTGAGCTTGGGACGGAACCTGCTTCCCCAGAGATGCCGCAGCCTCTGCTGAGGTCCCTCAAGGGTCATTGCGGTGGATCCGGCGCTCGGTCTGTGCTGCTGCCCAGAGAAGCGTTTCCTTGTCCTGGCTCCTTCCTCCTTCCTCGTCCCTGCCTGTGCCCCATCTGGTGGGACTTTGTCGCCGTCTCTGCTCCATCGGGCACGTGTGACCACCCGGGTGGCCCTGGCGGGGGCCGTCCCTACTAGCAGCGCACATTTCTGTGTTGCAGGTCAGGTACTCGACGCAGAGCCTCTTCGAGTACATGAAGGGGATTCAGAACGACCCGCAGGCCCTAGAGGGCTTTGGGGGGACCCTTCTGCAGCTCTTTGAGGACAACCTTCTGAACGACAGGTGAGAGGTGGCGCTTTTGTCACGGTTCTCAGACCTCTGGGGTCTCCCGTGTTCTCACCAGGATTTGGTCTCAAGGGGGCAGTGAGGAGGGCCCGGAGGGGACGTGGCTGCAGGGGGTGCCGCTGCGGGGCCCTGCAGCCTGCGGTGTGGGCCAGCCGGGGCACGACTCTGGTACCCGTCGGGCGTCCAGGGCGCCGAGGCTGTGAGCCCCGGAGGGTCCGTGTGGCTCTTCTCCGAGGCGGCGTGTCCCCAGCCTGCGCCCGGACACACCCACGGTGTGGTCACGGTCTCTGCAGGCAGGACCGGAACGTCGCGGTGAGGAGCAGCACTGGTTCTCTGAGGCATCTTGGCTGCATCATCTTTGCCCAACGGCGTTTCCACGAAGGCGGCGTGTGGCTCCCGCGGGTCTTGACCTCGGGATTCGGGGTGTTCCCCAAAGTCCTCCAAGAGTTGATCCTGGACTCTGCTCTCCGCTGTCCTGGCCAGGCGGGCCCTGGTCACGCAGCACAGACGCAGGCCCCGTGGGCGCACCGTGTCCGTGGGAGGTAGCAGAGCTCAGCCAGTGTCTGCTCCGCCTGAATAGCACCGAGGGTGACTGAGGTCTCCAGGCACGAGCACGACGGCTGCCGTCCGGTAGATGTTGACTCTGTGGCATCCCCAACACCGTCCTGCGGTCAGGACACGGGCCACACCGTCAGCCCGGAGGCTTCCCGCCCTCCCTCCCCCCCGCCCCCAGCCCGAGGCAACCGCTGGTCTGTCACGGAGGCTCCGGTGGCGTCTCCTACGAGTGTATTTCCCCGGAGTCTGCGGCGTGTCCGGCTTCCATTGCGCGGTCACACCGCGTCCGGTTCCTGTTGACGGTCACCAGGGTTGTTTGCGGCTGGAGTTCAGGCGGCGGGAACGTTTGCGCCCGTCTGTGTGGACCGCTGCCCGCCTTGCCCCTGGGGCCGTGCTGAGAGCAGGCTTGCCGGGGCACGGGGCAGGTGGATGCTCAACTTTTAAAAAACTGCCACGTTTTCCAAGGCGGTCGTACGTGTTGCACCCCGCGGGGCGTCTCCGTCCGGGCGCCGGTCCTGCCCTGTGATCCCCCCGGGGAGGGGTGTCCGGCCTCCCGCCTGCGTCTCACTTGGGGGGTGGCCTCCTCCCCTCCCGCTGGGCTTCGGGGGTGCGGGGAGCTGTGCAAGCCCTGGTCGCACAGCGGCCCGGGGCACCCCCGTCCAGGCGGCCCTTGGCCTTCACAGCCCGCGACCTGAGCAGGTGCCGCCGCCCCGCACGCTCGGCTGCCCCCTTGGTTCTCACGGGCGTGTGCGTTCTTGGCCTGACCCAAGTCACGAAGGTTTCCTCTTAACGTTTCCTAGCAGGTGCGTGGCTTTAGGTTTGATGTGGAGACCCAAGGTCCGTTCTGGGTGACGGCCTGTGTGTGACGCGAGCGGCAGACCGTGCTTCTGCGTGCGCGTGGCCGGGGCTTGAGGGACTGACCCTTCCACGGGGTGGCTTTTCCCTGTATCCGTCGTGGACACGGAGGCCCGTTTCTGGAGTTTCCTCTCCTCAGTCTGCTGTCGTCTCCCTCGAGCTTCGCGGCTGAGACGGGTGCTGCTGGCCCTCTGGCCGCGCTCCCCCGGTCGTTAGGGCTTTTCTCAATCCTAACGTTTCCGTGTGAGTTTCACAGTAAGATTCTCGTTCTCGGCAGAAGGTGTTGCCCGGATCCGGATCGGGACGGTGCGGCCCCGGGGAGCGCCCCACGTTAGCAGGTCCGGGGTGGGCGCCCGGGGCCTCAGCACTCACCCTCTCCCCTCAGGGTGTCTGTGCCGCTGCTGAAGATGCTGGACCAGATGCTGGCCAACGGGTGCTTCGACCTCTTCACCGCGGAGCAGGAGTAAGTGCCCCGCTTGCCGCCCCCTCCCGCCAACCGAGCCAGGGGAGGCCGAGCCACGACTCCGGGAGGCGGTTTCTGGCACGTTCAGGGCGGCCCGTGCCGTCAGGACGCTTCGGCTGCCCCAGTGAGGCTGGGCTGTGCCTCTGGCCAGGCTCCTCCTGTGGCACCTGCTGCCCAGGTGGGAAAAGACCCAAGCAGCTGAGGTGCCCCCCGAGCCCCCGACCCCACCTGGGCCGGGGCCTGGCAGTCAGGGCGGTCGTGGGCAGCGTGGAGCGTCTTGGCTGTCACGGTGGCGGGGCTGGTGCTTGCATGCGGGGCTGGGCGTGGGCCCCAGCACCCGAGAGCGGGGGCAGCTCCGCACTGAGCTCCGGCCTGCCTGGTTAGGAGCCTCACGACCTTCCCCGCGTCCCGGGCTCGAGGGCTCTGCCTCTGGCGCCTTGTGTCCCGCGCGTGGGCACATCTCAGGGCCTGGGAAGGAGCTGCGCCGGGGGGGGGGGGGGGCCCGGAGGTGTGTGCTCGCACCTGGCGTCCTCTCTGTGGGCGGGGTCTTTCTGCCGTGTCTGGGGGCGCTCATCCCCGCCCACCCGAGTCCCCCCCGTGGCCTCCTGTCCTGTGGGTTTTGTTTGGTGTCGGGTGGAGCGGAGTCCAGGGCCTCTGCTGCGTCGCTGACCCTCCGGTCGGGCGCCGTCCGCACTCCCGGGCACGGCCACCCGCCGCGGGTGGTGTCCGCACGCAGATTGCGTCTCCCGGCTCGCCGACCTACTGTTTGGAGCCTAAACGTGTTTTCCTCCTTTGAAAATTTCAACATAAGACGGCGGGACAGAGTGTCGTGCTGCAAACGGCTCTTTGTATTTCTCTTTGATTTTGCCAGTTCCTGTTGACGGGCCGTGAGGTCTTCTGCTTTGGCGCACGCACGTTCGGGGCAGAGTCTGTTTACTGCCCGACGCGCTTTATTACCGTTTGCTCCCTGTGGGTCAGGCTGCAGCCCCTTCGTGTGACCCGGACTCTGCCCCGGGGCCGCGCGTGCTGCTGGCCCGGTGGGTAGCTCACGGGGCCGCGGCCTCCGACCGCTCACGGGCGCGTTCGTCTCATTTGCAAGCAACCCGCTCGGCCCCCCGCCTGCGTCTCTCTGTCCGTCGGTCCGGCTGCCGTGTCCCCTCTGTCCTGTTCTCTCTGATGGATTCAGGGACGTCTGCTCTCCCAGCGGGACGTCCCACTCTCCTGCTCTTTCACTGGCCGCCCAGAGGCCAATTTCCTGCCCTCTCCCTCTTCCTGGAGAACCAGGGGTGTTGACGTGTCCGTGTCTTCCCTGGGGGACGTGAGCTCGCTGCGTCGAGTTACACGCACGTGTTCACTTACTGCGGTTTTGTGCAGTTGATGCTGAGCTTGTCCACGTTTGCGTCTGCCTCCTGCCCGCCTCGCTGAGCCCGGCCCGGCCTGCGTCCCGTGTTTCTGCCTCAAGAACCCCCGTCCGCAGCCCCTGTCGTGATGCCCGCCAGCAGTGCACGTTTTCTGGTTTTATTTGCAAGTTACTTTCGAGGACGTGGGGTTCTAGGCAGACGTTTTACTTCGGGACCTAAGCATCTTCCGGCCTGTGTTCCTGTGGAGACGTGGCCTGTGAGTCTGGAGTCCAAGGCAGTCGGGTTTTCACCGCCTCCTTCGAGGATCGTCTCCGAGGAGTCTCAACATTTCTACCCGTCGAGTGGGTCCAGTGGGTCACATACTCCTTTGTCCTACCAGGAATTTGTTAAACTTGAAGAAGTGGCTTCGTTTTCATTTGTTCCGAAAAATTCTTGGCCGCCCTCCCCGAAGGCCGGCCGCATCCCACATTTCTCCGTGCCTCAGTGGTTCTGACTTGTCCTCCACTTGCCGGCTCCCTCCTAGCGTGTTTCTGCCAAATTCACGGCTGCGGTTCTGATTTTCAGTTTTCGTATTTTTTCAGATGCGGCTTTCTATTTGGTCTGTCGTGCAGCTGCCAGCCCCTTGCCCTCCTGGGTACGGCACTGCGGTCTTCCCGCACACTTCTGGGCTCCTCGTGGGGTGTCTGGCTTTTAAGCCCGTGGGTGGGCCTTCTCGTTTGCTTATTCGTTGTCTGGACGCTGCATTTGAGACGTTGCGTGTGCAAGTGACTGCGGCGGCAGATGAGCTTGGCTGCAGGGCTCTGCGGGCGGGTGGTAGCGACCCGGAGCCGCCCTGACCCACATCCGCCCGGAGGCTCTGGCCTGCCCACAGCAGGTGCACCCTCCACCTGGGGGAGCCTTCCGGGCTTGTCAGGCGCAAGCCCTCGTCGGGACCAAGCTCCGGGTCTTGTGGTGGCTGGATTCTGGGGACAGCATGCTCAGGTCCTCCGGCGGTCGGTCCGCCCGGGTGCTGAGGCGGTGCGCGCCCGGTGCCGGCTCCCCCCTGGGAGTGGAGGCAGTGGGCATCCCACCTGCCGCATGCAGAAGGCCCTTGGGGTCCAGGTGGGGGGGTGCCGCCGCCGGAGAGGTGGCAGCGGAGAAATGGGGCGCGTGGCTCCCAGTGCAAGTAGCCGTCAGCCGCTGTGTCCCAGACGGCGGCGGGAGGGTGGGGTTGTCCCCAGGCCGGGAGGGCGGCCGGGACGGCGGCCGGGAGGGAGGGGCGGACGCGGGCCGCTCAGGCTCCGTGAGGAATGGCACGGAACGGCTTGCACAGCAGGTCTGGAGGCAGGAGGTCAGGGTGCCAGCGACCCAGGCCTGGTTTGCTGAGGGACCTTCCACTCTTCGCACAGCAGAGGGCGGCCACCTCACGGGTCTGTTGCCCTGAAGGCACTCGGGGCATCGTGGGGACTCAGTCTCACGGCCTACGTGCTTCTGAGGTCCCACCTGGTAATGCCTTCACGTGGGGTATTCAGTGGGCTTTGTGGGGGGGGCACAGGGGTTCAGCCTGGAGCATAAACGCTTGGCCTGAGATGCTCATTAGATCCCAGAGGAGGTGGACCTAGAGGCTGGAACCCCAGGGAAGCCCCAGAGGGTGGTGTGTGAACCCTGGAGGCCAGCACGGGAGTGGCTGTGGACAAGAAGGGGCCCCTGGTGGAGCTGTGGGGTGTCCCTCCCTTAGGAGGAAGGGAGCAGAGGGGACACAGGGCCTGGGTGGTGTGAGCCACGGGGTCATGTGGGTGGAGGACACGGTGGTCACTTGGTCTCAAACAGGCAGGGAGCTGTGGGGAGAAGCCTGCAGGGGGTGGGGGCTGGACCCCTGTGGGCGACAGGGACCTGGAGGGGGTGGGTGGGGGTGCCAGTCTCCCTGAGGACAAGGAAGAGGTCACGGGCGGCAGGGCCCCCAGGGCGACAGTGCGTGCAGGAGCCTGTCGTGGGGACCCTTGCTGGTTGGCCCCCCACTGTCCCTGGAGGCGCGGCATGGAGGGGGACGTGCATCCATGTGTGTCCAGGGGCCGCGCCTGATTCCAAGCCGGTCGTCCTTCCTTGGATCCGGGTGGAGCCTGCCCTCGCTGTGCCGGCCACGGGTGGGGGTCGGGGCGTGCCCGGCTCTGGTCCTCAGGGCCCTCCCGCCGGCTGGGGCAGGTGTGCAGGTCCGTGGGCACTCGAGCTCGCCGCCGGCACCGTGTGCTTCCCTTGCAGCCACCCCTTCGGCGTGAAGCTGCTGGCGCTCTGTAAGGAGGAGACCAGGAAGTCCAAGGATGTGCAGAAGCTGCGGTCGGGCGTCGCCGTGTAAGTTCAGGCGGGACACACTGGGGCTCACCGGTCGGTAGCCGGGCCTGTTGGGGGGACCTGGGCCGCGACCCGGGCCGCAGCGTCGGGCAGCCGGGGTGGGTGCTGACGGCCGGCCGCTCCCCGCCTGTCGCCCGCAGGTTCTGTGGGATGGTGCAGTTCCCGGGGGACGTGAGGAGGAAGGTCCTCCTGCAGTTGTGCCTCCTGCTGTGCCACCCGTTCCCCGTGGTGAGTGTGCGGCCACCCTGGGCGGGGGGTGGGGTGGGCACGCCGGGCCGGGCAGGTGCCTGAGCCGTCCAGAGGCCGGTTCTGCTGGCTGAGGGCGTCCTCCGGCTCCCGCCACTGAGCTTCAGTGGGGTGTGTCCTCCGGCTCGGGCTGCCCCACCTGCTGGCCCTGCCCTGCGCTGGGGCCCGGAGCTCGGCGGGCAGCTGTGCGGGCAGCGTGGGGTGGCCTGGCTTCTCCCCGTGAGGCGGCCGTGGGGCGCCCGGCCAGGTGGGGTCGGACCCCAGGCCTGCTCCCCGAGCAGCAGCTTGCGCAGCGGGTGAGAGCAGCGTCAGGTGCCCCTCCTGGCCCCGCCCCCGCCAGGCCCTGCCACTGACCCACCTGCCCTGCCCAGATCCGGAAGAGCACGGCGAGCCAGGTGTACGAGATGCTGCTCACCTACGGGGACGTCCTGGCTGACGGCGTCCTGGAGGAGGTCATGGCTGTGCTGGGCGCCACGGCCTGGTGAGTGCGAGGGCCCTTCCCGCCTTCCCCGGGATTGCAGAACCCCGCCCCTGCCCCCCCTCCCCGCCCGAGCCCCCGCCCCCGCCTGAGGACCTGCAGCGTCCGCCCACAGGTGCCCACATGTGCCCGCTCGTACCCGAGGGCTGGGCAGGCGCCTCCCGTCCGGCTGGGGAGACGCACAGGGGCGGTGTCCTGGCCACTACCAGTTCACTTCAGTGGACTCTGCGCCAGGGGCTCTGGGAGCTGTGGGGTCGTGGGGTCGCGGCCTGGGAGGTGGTTGAGCCTCTGCGGGGACGCACCTGGTGCCATGGCCTCCGAGGGCAGAGGGCGTGCAGCGCTGGGCCCCCTGCAGGTGCCAGGCACCAGGCTCTGGGAGGCGGCCCGTGGGCCTTGGCTCGGCCGTGGTGGAAAGGCCCACGTGGCTGCATCCACATGTCAAAGTGGACGAGGTGTCCCCGACCCGGAAACCCGGGTCCCTCAAGGCCGGGACCGGCCCGTCCCCAGGGCCCAGACAGTGCGGCCCGAGCTCAGTGTCACAGACACACGGGCACCCGGCGCTGCTCCTCCCCCACCTCGTTCTTCTGTTGAAAAACGTTCCAGATGATTTTAAGATGCTGGTATTTTTTTTTTATTCTGAAATGAAATTTAATCTTTATTTTTAGTGAAAACAATAAACAGCTTTCTCAGTACAATAGAACTTTAAAACCTGCCCGGCCCACCTCCCTGGGTCGCCCGCCTCCAGTTTCCCGAGGAGGAGCAGGGCCTGCAGCACCCACCGCGGGGGCTCGCCCTGTGCTCTCCCCCTGGACTCCTAAGCCGGGCTCCTGGGGTCTGCACCCCGGCAGCCTGAGCGCGGAGCTTGCGGGAGGCTGGACGCGCACACCGAGCGCCCCGCGGCTGAAGCTGCTCCTCCCCCCCGCCCCCCTCCCCCCAGGGACGCGGAGCTCCCAGTCGTGAGAGCCCAGCGGAACCGCCTGTGTGACCTCCTCGGCGTGCCCCGACCGCAGCTGGTCCCTAAGGTAACCGCAGGCCTCGGCCACGCCAGGACCCCGGGGCCCCCCTCGCGCAGCTCCCCTGGGTGCTCATCCTGAGCTGGCGTCTGGGGTGCTGTGGTCCTCGCGGCCCCTCGCAGGCTGCTTGGGCTCCCACATCCCTCGTGCAGCAGGCAGCGTCCGGTGTCCCGTGGGCACGACAGCCAGGACAGGCCCTCTGCCTGGGGGGTGGCCGTCCCGCGCTGCCGGCCCTCAGTGGAGCTGGCGGCGGCTGAGCTCGCTCCTCCCACCTGACCTGGTTTCCACCGTCACCGTCTCCCTGGACAGTCGCCCCAGGGTCCCAGGTGCCCGGTGAGGTCACCCTTCCGTGGCGTTGCTGTGTGTGCTGCAACTGCAGCTGAGGCCGTGGTGGTTTCCCTGCCTCTGCTCCGGGGTGGCGGCCACGTCCACCCTTCTCTCGGGCCCACGGTTGACACGGGGGTTGGCGGGCTAAGGGCAGCGATGGCTCCAGGTGAGCGTGCTGCTAACCTGTCGTCAGTCCCGCATGGGGGGATGAAGGTGGGGAGCCGAGGACGGGGGACTCGGGCTGCTGCCCCGAGGTCATGGCAGCTGCGGGGTCCTGGGCACCCGTGGCCTGACCCCGTGCTGTGTCCCCCACAGCCTGGCACCGGCTGAGCACCTGCTGCCCAGGGGGCGGAGGAGACCGACGCCGGTCAGCACACCTGGAGGCGGCCCCGGGCCCGGAGGTGGCCCCACCTGAGCAGCAGCTCTTCCTCACGTGTCTGGGGTGTTGGTGCTTTGTCTTCACGTCCGTGGGAACCCCGTCCATAAAACCACGTCCCCAGCAGTTCTGTGTCTCCGTGTCTGACGCTGGTGTGTGCGACCGCGGGGGCGGGGCGGCTGCTGGGGCCTGGCCGCCCTGGCGGGAGCACTGACCCCCCCATGGGGTCGCCTGCTGCCCGGCTCCTCGGACCCAGGGCGCCGTGGATTAGCGACTTCATTCCGTTCAAGCATTCAAACGTGCTTCCCTCCCAAAAAGGAGTAGGGAGCTCTCGTTTTAGATGGAGGCCGGCCGGAGAGCCTCGGGTGGCGGGAGATGGTGGGGAGACGGCCCCGCGGGGCAGCACCTGGGCCTCGGCTGCAGGAAACCAAGCGCTCGTGCAGCGAGCGCACCCGGGAACTGCGGGCGGCTGAGACCCACAGGGTCCAACGCCCCCAGGGGGGCCGCAGCCTGGCGGCACAGGTGTCCCTCAGCAGCGTGGGCGGACGGCTCCTGGTGCGACAGGCACGACCTGCCGGGGACGCCGGGGTGGTCTCCACTGTGCGGTCACACTGGCGCACGGGGACCACGTCCCAGTGAGACATGGACCCGCCCCCAGGGGAAGGGCCGGCCCCACGAGGAGGCGGGGCTGCACGTGCCCTCAGGCCACAGGACCCCCGTGTACCTGGGAGCCCCCCACCCCCCTACCCGGGCGACCCACGCACCTGGGAGCCGCTGCCTGCAGCCGTCAGCTGAAGTGAAGGAAGTCCCGGCCCTCCTGCAGGTTTAGTGACCGCAGGTTGGCCTCGAACTCGCCCCTGGTGAGGTCCTGTGGGAGGAACAGCACGTCCGCTGGGTCCGCTGGGTGCGGCGGGACCTCCCTGCTGAGGGGAGGGGCTGGGACGAGCAGGGGACGCGGCCAGAGGCCGGCCACGGTGAGGGGGGCCTCTGAGGCAGATACTCCCCTCCCTGCCCCCCCCCAGCCAGGTCCCTCCCTGCAGAAGGCAGCTGACCCTCCCCTCCCTCAGGAGCTAAGGGGAGGAAGCGTCCCCACTGGCGGCTCTGCGTCACCCCTTTGTCCAGGGCACACCGGCCTCCTGCCTGTGCCTCATCCTAGAGCCCCCGTGACATCCCGTCCCCTCTGCAGGGGCCTGACCCCGACTCAGGGATGTGCACGGACCCCGCCCTCCTCTTCCTTGGCCCATTTGTGCTCTGGGACATGCCGCACGGGGATGGGGACACACCACATGGGGACACAGACATAGGGATGAGAACATGCCGCGTGGGAACGGCGACAGATGGGGACAAGGACACAGGAGCACGAATAGAGATGGGGACACGTGGACATGGAGCATGGAGACAAATGGGGACATGCCACACGGGGAAGGGGACACGTCATGGAAATGACACGGGGACAGATGACAGATGAGAGGGACATGGGGCATGGAGATGGGAACAGGGACACAGGTGGGGACACCACATGGGGACGGGATACGGGGATGGGGACATGGACCCAGGGCGGGGGCACGGGGACACAGGCCGGGGGCACGCCGCTGCTCGGCTTCTTGCTCAATTAAAAGACGACGGCAGGGTCCCGTGGCCCAGGCGTGTGTGGAACACGCTGTGAACGTGTTGTGTAAAAGCTGCGGAACACGGGGAGGGTACGTGTGACGCCGCCGTTGGCCCCAAACCCGTGCACGCCTGGGTTCACTGCAGCAGAATATGCCAGAAACAGGTGCGGGGCACCTCTGCGGGGGACGCGGGGGGCGGGGACGCAGGCCTGTGCTCCGTGGGGGCCTGGGGGAGGGGCTCCCCGGGCGGAGCGCGTCGCCCCAACCGCTGCGGGTCGCTGGTGCAGGGGGGAGGCTCCTCCTAGAGCGGCGGCGCCTTCCCGGGCCGAGCCCTGCTCACTGCGGCTTCAGGTCACTCCTTCCAGAAACCCCGGAGGCTGCGGGTGCACGCAGGGGGGCGGGGGGAGCCGGCGGGACTGGCCACACGATGTCACGGAGGCCCGTGTCTCGCCGGCAGACCCTGCACGTGTGGGGACATGCGGCCGGCAGCGACCCGCAGGGCACGGGGCTCTCGTTCCCGCGGCGCGGCCTCCGGGCAGCGCCCGAGCCAGACACTGAGGGCGCGCGGTGGCTCAGGCGGTGGTGACCCGGGGTCGGGGAGTCGGGCTCCCTGCTGGGGGGGGGGGGGTCCTGCGGAGACGCCCCCCCCCTGCCCATTTCCCTCCAAGTAGATTTAAAAACCTAAAAGAACGGTGTCGTGCGCGGGGGTGTGGGGCGCGTATCACAAGGCCGCACTGACACGGGGTCAGTCCCCGCAGAACCGAACCTCAGGGCGGGTCCAGGGCGGGGGGGGCAGCTGGGGGGTCATGGGGCAGCCACCACGGGGGGGGAGGCAGCTGGGGGGCAGCCTCCTCCCCCCACCCTCGGGGCCCAGCGGCGGCACCAGAACCCAGCTGAGCCGGGTGCACGGTGATCGTGGCACTTGTGTGTGTCCAAGCGCAGCAGAGGGAAGCCGCGGGTGGACACGTGTGCACACCCACCCGACGGGGCCGCGTCCAGGACACGCGCAGGACGGACACGTGCGGCCACGTCTGCACACGGAGACCCGCGCCACCGGAGGTCGGGCACACGCAGAGCCTGGCCGCGAGGGCCCGTGGCGCACGGGGCAGCCGTGACAACCGGGGGAGTGCGAGACGCTGCAGCCGTCGTGGGGATGGGCCGGTTACCCCGGCGCCACCTCCCGTGCTGGGCAAACGTGCACGCGGACCCACACGCGGCTCCCTGTCACCGGGGCCACGGCCAGCGGTCGCCGCCAAGGACGTCAGCCGGGCGCGGGCAGGCCCCGGGGTCCCTGAGCTCGTGCAAGTGAGCCCGACGGAGCCGCGCACAGCCCAGCAGCTGGGCCCCATGACCCCAAGGGGAGGGGGAAGCCGGGGGGGGGCCCGGGCCTGGTCGGGGGCTCCTCACAGCAGCCCCTCGGCTCGGCCGCAGCGTCTGCCGGGCTGCACCTCGCAAGTTCCCGAAAAGCGTTTTTATGGAAACGCAGCCTCTGTCCGCGGGCACCGCGCGCCCCAACACCCCGGGCGCCCTGCGAGGCCACGGCCCCTCCCCTCCAGCCCGGCACGCAGGAGGCCGCACCACGGGCGGGGCCTGGGCAGCGACGTTGACCCCGGGCGCGCGGGCACGTACCAGCTTCACGCAGATGACGAAGGGCGGCCGGGCGGCTCGGAAGTGCAGGATCGGGACCCGCGGCTTGGGCGCCTCCTGAGGGGAGAGGGGCGCTGGGTGCGGGCCTGCGCCGATGGCCCCCAGCCCCCAGGGGCCCGGGGTCACCCCTGCTGGGCAGGGTCCATCCGGGGGGGGGGCTCTGGGCGACCCCATGGGGCCGAGGCCACCGGGCGGGCGCACACCTCGGAATCCTCGTAGCAGTAGAAGCCCTTCCTGATCTTGTTCTCGTCCACGTCACAGAAGGCCACCACCTGGGGAGGAGCGGAGGGCGGGAGCTGGGGGGAGGGGGGCAGGGGAGAGGGCGGGGGGGACGGGGGGGCAGGGGAGAGGGCGGGGGGGACGGGGGGGCAGGGGAGAGGGCAGGGGGGACGGGGGGGGCAGGGGAGAGGGCGGGGGGGGACGGGAGGGGGATAGGGGAGAGGGTGGGGGGGGTCGGGAGGGGCAGGGGAGAGGGCGGGGGCGACGGGAGGGGCAGGGGAGAGGGCGGGGGGACGGGATGGGGGCAGGGGGAACAGGGTGGGGGGATGGGGTGGAGGGTGGGGAGAGGGCGGGGGGACGGGGTGGGGGGCAGGGGAGAGGGCAGGTGGGACGCCGGGGGGGACCCACCTTGCGCCGCGCCCCCGCCGAGAGGCCGCGGTACAGCCGGCGCCCCTGGCGGCCCGCGTTCCAGATGGTGAAGGCGGCCCAGTGCGGCAGGACACGCTCCTCCAGGAACCGGACTCGGTGCGTCCAGATGGTCGTCCTGGGGGAGCAGCGGGGGTGGGGGCCTCTGGCGGCTGCACACGGGGCCCCCCCAGCCCCGGGCACCGCGGGGCACGACCCGGCCGGGTCACGCGGCCTCACCCGCCCCGGGGACGTTCCCACGCCCGACGCAGACCCGGGGACCTGGGGGGACGCAGCCGCTGGTGTCGGGGCTCTCTGAGCTGCCTCGGGGCCCCGCTCCCGCGCACACGGGGTGGGAGTCGGGCCCGCGTGGCTGCGTGGAACCTGTCAGGGTGGCGCCATCATCCCCGCTCCCAGCCACTGCCGGGCGGGCCCTTCTCAGGGTGTCGGGGAGCCTCCGGGGCTCAGGCCTGGCAGGGCACCCGGGCTCCGCGGATGCAGGGCGCAGGCGGTCTGAGCATGTCAGGGCTGCCGAGGAGCGATGCCCGGTGGGGGGCCCTGCGCTTCCAGTCCTCGCGGCCAGGCCCACGCAGCCGGGCAACGTCCACGACGGGGGACAAGGCAGGGGACGTGGGAGGGCGCGCGGGAGGGCACGGGGCACTGGAGGGCACGCGAAGGGTGCAAGGGCCTTGAGTGTGCGCGGGGCCGTGGCTGGAGGGACACGGGTGTTCCCGCCGCGGCCTCCCGTCCCCCTGCAGCTCCGCCAGCGCGTCCCCCCCCTCCAGCAGCCGGGGCTCCTCGCGGTGAGACGCAGACCCGAGGGCGCGGCTGCCACCGGCTGCGTGGACGGCCCGACCCCAGGAGCCCAGGGTGCCGCTGGGCCCACGCAGGCTGCACCCGAGTCGCTGACGTGGCCTCGGCTCTGGACACCCCTACAGTTTAGAAGCGGCCCCAGGGCGCTCCCGCCGTCCTCCCCCGTCCTGCCCGCGCCCCCTGCGCTCCTCCGGCGGAGGCGTCCCCCCACATCTCCTCACGTGCGGGGCAGCAGCGGCCTCCACGGGGGCTCCCAGGCCAGGACGGCGGTGGCCGTGGCGACGCTCCAGAGATGCGCCACCTGAGGTCGCACGGGCAGGGCCACCGCGAGGCGCAGCAGAGGCGCAGGTCCAGGGAGGAGGCACCGGGACACAGCGCCTCAGGCAGGTGCCGCCCGCGGTGGAGGCGCCAAGAACCAGGTCAAGGCAAGGAGGGGGCCTCCGTCCGCGTGGCCGGGATGACCCATCGCGGGCGCCACCGTGCTGAGGGCCGTGGGGTCGGAGCAGGAGTCTGGGCGCACCGGCAGGCCCATCCCCACGGCGCAGTCACCCCCGCTGCGGAAGCCGCGTGACAGGAGCCCCGCCTGGGTGGGGACGGAGCCCGCGGGCTGGTCCCTGCAGGTCACAGCCCCTCACCCAGGGCCAGCCGGGGGCACAGGAGCCCCACAGGCCGCAGCCTGTGGGCAGCAGGGACCCCCTCGGGGCCCAGGCGCTCCGTCACCGCCGCCACTCGCGAGCTGCCGGGTCACGGAGGGGGTCGTGGGCCAGCGCTCGGGGAACCGCCCGCCCCGGGGCCGCGTGAGTGTGGAGCCAGGTCCACGCAGATCACCGCAGGGCGCTGGCCGGTGCCGTCGTGGGCTCCCGCGGCGCGTGGAGGCGGCTGCAGTACTTAGGGCCCACGTCGTCGTGTGAGGTTGCTGTTGACGCCCTTCCCTGCCGGGGGGACGCCGTCCTGGGTCCTGGGCACCCGCCTGGTGTGTGCGGCCCACGGTTCCCGTTCACGCGGCCGCCGGCGCCCCCACTGTCCGCGTCTGCCTCCCGGGCCTCCCGGCGTTTCTGAGCCGAGGCTTCGGGTCCTGGTGAAGCCGCCGCCTCCGTTCGCCGAGGGTCAGGGGTGTCCCGCGCTCGAGCGGGGCTGTGAGGTCGCGGGGTCCCCGTAGGAGCGTCGCCCCCAGCCGCCCCCGGGCTCCTTCCATCGGCGGCCTTCGCCGACTTTGTTAAAAATCCGCCTCCCGCACTGTGTCCCGCGTGTCCCTGGCCTCCCGGTCGCCGGGCTTGCGGCCACGCCTGGCGTTTTGCTCCTGTCAAGGTTCTTGGGTCCATCCTGGCTCCTCTAATTTTCCACGTGAATCTTAGAATCCGGTAGTTTCCGCAAAAACGCTGGCGGGTCGTGTACCGGGACCAACGCCCAACGCTTTGGGGAGAGCGATCTCAGGTCGCCGAGGCCTCGGCCCACGACGGTGGCGTCCCTCCATCCCTGTGACGGGTTTCCTTGAATTTCTTGTAGTTTGCAGAGCACACACACCCCCGGGTTTTATTTTTGACGCCATCATACGTGGTTCTGTGTTTCCTAGTTCAAGTGTGTCGACTGGGGGCTTCAATAAATTCCACAAATTTTGACAATTTCATTAAAATACATTTTTTCCCTGATTTCCTTTGTGATTTTTTTCCCCCGGATTTCTTATTTTCCAAATATTTTGCATTTTTACGACGTGTTAATGATCTCTGTTTTAATCCCACGTGGTTAGAAAACACCGTGGAGGATTCCAGTCCTTGGAAACGTACCCGGAGTTGGTTCGTCTCGCACCAGGACGCATCCCGCAGGCGAGTGGGCTACACGCGCGGTCCTGGGGGGCGGGCGGCTCCAGCCTCCCCCTGGGACCCTCCCACGTGGTGTCCGTCTGTCCCCGTCCGTGCAGTTCTGGTCGTGCCCAGACACCGTGAGATACACACACGCGGCCGCGGCCGCCTCCTCGACGTGACCCTGACCCCACGGCGCAAACCACCCCGAGTCCAGCCCCAAACCACGATGCTGCACTCAAGCTGTCGTGGAAAAGTTCAAATTCAGCAGAAAAACCCAAAACCAAGTTCCTCCACTGGAAGCTGGGAACGAAGCTGAACTTCAACTCTCGACAAGACCCACGCAGACGTCCACAGGCCTCCCGTCAGTCGGGCCGCACGCGCGGCACGGGCCGCCCCCAGGAGCCCGCCCTCCAGGGAGGCCCAGCGAGCGCCGCCTCCGACGCGGGAGCCCCTGCCTGGGGCTGTGGCTTCAGGGCCCTCCGTGCTCAGCGCAGCAGGGGATGCGCGGCTGCACCGGTGACGGTCAACCAGCCCTTCCTGCGGCTCCCACGTCAGCCAGCGGCGCCCGGGGCAGGTGGGACGCGGGGACACGGGGCGCAGGTGGAGAGGAGCAGAGGCAGCGGGCAGGCCACGAACCCAGAGGGACGCGGGAGGCGAGGACACCCCGGGGACCCCTGTCCACAGGCCCCGAGACGCCTCCTCCCACAAAGGCCACCCGCCCCGCGACGCTCCCAGACGTCCTGCCCCGAGGTGGGACCTGCCCCACCGACCCCGGGTCCCGGGCCCTGTGCCTCGCCGCCCCCACACGTGCCTGGAGCCCCGGGGCTACGTACTCGAGGACGGAGTGCGTGGCCGCGTCCGGGTGGTAGCGGTAGAGGACGAGGCTCCGGTCCACGCGCACGACCCCGCCGCCCTTCCGCAGGTGGTTGTAGAAGAGCAGCAGGTCCTCGGGCACACCCTGCAGGGACAGCGGCGGGGACAGCAGCAGCGTCAGCCGCGCCGGCGACTCCGCTCACGGCCCGAGTCGCCGAGTCCCGCTCCCCACGTGTGCGCTGACCCAGGCCTGGACGTGGGCGCCACGGCCGGCCTCGCGCGAGCTTCCAGCACACGTGCGGGTGTCCCAGGGTGACACACGGGCGGGCGGCGGGCGACAGCCCCAGCATCGCCCTCCAACCCGAGACACGGCGCTCGCGGCCCGCGGGGTGCCCGCCTTCTCCTGGGTCCCTGGGTGGGGCCCGCCCCCGCGGCCGGTCGGGGTGGCAGCCAGACACCGGGTCTGCTGCCGCGACGCTCCTAGCGCCAGTGAGCGGAGGTGTCAGGGCGGTGCTCGCGGCCCCGATGCCTGCACATCCGGCTGCCGGGCGGGCCGGCTCCCCGCCCCAGGACCTCGGGACCTGCCCTCGAGCCAGTCCAGTCCATAGAAGGGAAGACCCAGGAGGACGAGATAAAATCACGCAAGAAGCGAGGATCCTATTACCAGGTCCTCAAGGGAGCACGCGTTTGAATAAAAACTTGACAAAAGACATGGAAAAAAAATGCAGGAAAATGAGCAAGAAACGGAAATCCTATACTGAGAACCGTAAAAGCCAGAGAGAACACTGAGCCCCAGGTCGGGGCGCACCAGCCGCCGCGTCCGTGCCCCAGAGTCACGCAGGCGGGCCCCATGCCCTGAGCCGCCCAGCGGCGAGCGACCCCGTGGGCCGGTTCGGTTCTCCCAACAGAGACAAGTCCCCGGAGCCACCGGCGGAGGGACCGCGCACCCGGTCCCGAGGCAGGAGGGTTTTTGGGACGCTCAGGCCGAGACCAGGAGCCCAGGGCCACGGACCCGGTCCTGAGCGCGTGTCCTCCCCACGGCAGTGGAAACCAGGAGGGGACGTGGGGGAAGCGAGGGAGGGTCCCGCTGCGCGCGGCCCTGGGAGCAGGAGTCCCAAGGAGCCACGGGGCGGGGGGACGCTGTTTAAGGGGAGAAATCCAGAACCTTCCATCCGGGGGTGGGTGCGGCTTGCGGCGCGGCAGGCAACGCAGACCAACCGGGTCGAAGGCCGCAGCCCCTGCCCGTCCTCAGGAGAGGGGACCCGGCAAGGGGAGGGGACGAGGCGCCCGCGCGGCCCCTGATGGAGCGGCGACACCCTGAGCTCCGCTCACCCAGCCCTGGACAGGGACAAAGCACCCGGGCCCTCGAGACACCGGCCCATCAGCACGAAGCGTGAAAACCCTCGGCCACGGCAGAACCGCAGACACGGGGACGCTCGGCCGCTGGGGGGCGGCCTCCCCGGCGTGAGAGGGAACCGCCTGTGGGAGCGTCTGCACGGTCTGCACCCCCCAGCTCCTGGGGCGCCGGCACTCCCCTGCACCCCACCCCGACCTCCCCTGCCCCCCCCACCTCCCAGACCTCCCCACCTCCCCCGCACCCCCACCTCAGGGCACCTGCCCTACACTCCCGGCCCGGGGGCACCTTCCTTCTTCACAGGAGCCCATGGACAATCCCCAGGGACCAGGCCCCCGGTCCAGGCCCACCCTCGGGTGTCGGCGTCCCCTCGGAGCACAGCCCCCGAGTGTTGTCAGCTCCCCTTGGGGATGGCACCAAGGACCAGGGAGCACTTCCCATCCCTGGGGTGGTCCTGGGGTCCCGGGGGGTCCCTGACCCACGAGGGGACGGACGAGCTTCCCTGCGGCAGGTGCCGCCTCTCCAGGAAGAATCGCTCTGAGCTACGAGGCCTGATGCTCGGCGCTGAGGCTCAGCTGTGACTTAGGTCGGGTCAGGCCTTTCCGTCCCGGGACCTCGGGACCTCGGGACCTCGGGACCGTTTCTGGGCTCGTTCTGGGGAAGGTGCTGGGCTCAGCAGCAGCAGCAACAGAGCACGCGTGCGGCAGCTGTGGAGGGATGTGCTGGGGCGCCCGGGCCCGCCCCCGTCGCTCCTGCCTCGGGGCTGCTGCCCCCCGGGAGCCGAGGTCGGGTCCCACGAGTTCTCTGCACTTAGGAGTGAGGGGCAGGAACAGGAGCAGAGCGGCTGCCAGACCCCTAGAATCAGGCAGCAGCGCCCCTCCGTGACGGGGTGCCCGGGCTCCCACCCAGCAGGGGCGAGCGCCCGTCCACGAGCTGCGGCCATGCGGTGCCACACACGCTCCCGGCCCAGGCCAACCCTGGGGACACGAGGGCAGGCGGCGGGGCTGCGGGGACCCCGTGGGGCAGCCCCGTTTGTGTCCCGGTGCAGACGCCGCCGGCCGGGCCCTCGGGCGCCCGTGTGAGAACGGCCCTGGGCCCGGAGGCTGCGTGGGTGGCCGGGCCGGGGCTGGTCCCACGCAGACGAGCCCCCAGGGCGGCGGTGGGGTCCCCGGGCCCCCAAGAGCCTGCGGCCCAGACCCCCTGGCAGCCGTGTCCGCTCGCCCTGCCCTCGGGCCGGCAGCGGGGGGCGCGTCCACGGTCAACAGGGAAGGCTGATGGCCCCCACTCCCGAGGCACCGGCTCCTGTCACGGGGACCAGACCCCACGTCCCCAAAGCCAAATTTGAGGGAAGTTTAAGGGAAAACAAGCCGACCCGAAGATTCCCTTTTACTTGACTGTAGGAGCTTTCACAGTCTGGCCGCGGGGGCAGGGAGTGGGGTGAGGCTGGGTCCCCACGTCGGGGCGGACCCCCCAGGTGGGGCCACGGGCAGGACGGCACCGGCAGCCCCACATGGAAATCTAGGGCTGTGCCGGGGCCGCAGACCGCAGGTGGGCGCCCCATCCCGCTGGCAGGACAGGCGCCGGGAGGCTCCTCAGACGCCCCCCCCCCGCCCGGAGCCCCGACCCCCGAGGACGGGACCGCGAGGGCCCACGCTTACCTGCCCGCCCTCGTCAAACGGGCCCACGTGGGAGAACCAAGCGCGAGAGCAGAACCAGGTGGGCATGACGACAGTGGGGCCGTGGGAGGTGAACACCTACGAGCAAGAGAGACGGGCAAGGTCGGCCTGCAGCCCGCTGCCCGCGGGGGCCCTGCCCGCGTGCCGGTCACGTCCGCGTGGGAACAGACGCACACGCTGCTTCGCATCGAGACCAGAGAAACGGACCCGACGTGAAAAGCACAGATGCGAGGGATGGGGTCCTCGAAGGACGCGAGCCGTGAAGTGACCGAAGAAACCGACGCGACGGATCTCTCCGAGGCCAAAATGGTGGTTTAGACAGAAAAACTCAAACCCACGGCCCCCCGGGAAGGAGCGCCCGGGCGGAGCGCGCGCCGGCGAAGCCCCGGGACGTCAGACCCTCAGAGTCATCCCGCGGGGCCAGCGCACCCCGACCCCACAGCCTGTCCCGTCACAAACCCACACACCAAGGGCCCTTGTGGAAATAGTGGAGAAACCCTGTGAACGGAGCCCATCATCCTGGGGCCCACGCCGCGACCAGGGACCCCAGGGTCGCCAGGGACACGGCACGGGTCGCCGGACGCCGCGTTCGCAGGACAAGGACGGGCCCCACACGCCCGACGAAAGCCCACAGCTCTCCGTGAGCGCACGAGCCCACCGAGGCCCCGAGGGCCCCACCCGGTGGAGGCATCGCCTTCCCGCCGCGCCCTCTGCCGCGCTCGGCAGACCCGGAGCCGGGGCCAAAGGGCACCTTGTTCCAGGTCGGGGCGAACAGGGACAACGGGTTCACGGTGCCCGGGGCACGACCCTGCGGGTAGGAGGCCGGAGGGAGGCCTGGAGGTGACAGCCGGGTCCGCGGACTCCTGGGACACGAGACTCCGCAGAACTCCAGCAGTTTCTCTTCCTTTCTTCTTTTTTAAGATTCTGCTTCTTTGTGAGCGGCCGAGCGAGAGGCAGGCCCCGTCCAGCACCCGGGGTCACGACCTGGGCCGAGGGCAGGTGCCCCTTCCAGGGACTCCTTACAGCGTCAGGCTGGTCTGCCTTCCCGGCCCCACCCCGACCCCGCGGGCACCGGGCAGAGGCCTCGGGGGCGTCTGGCCTCGCTTACGTCGGTCCGAGGGCCCCAGACGCCCTTCACCCCGGCCTGTGTGCCCTACAGCTGCGGGGCGCAGGTGGCCGGGGCTCCTGGGTCTGGGGCCGCGCCCCTCCGTCCCGCCCCGGGAGCCGGCGTCCTGCCAAACCCGCTCAGCCCGAGTTGGGTGTGGAGCGCGTGTGAGGACGTCTCGGGTGCTCCCCGCGTGGCCGGGTTGTGCCCTCGGGGGATGGGCTCGGCCTCGGCACCGCCCAGCCCCCTCCTAATGCCCTAAAAGCCACGTGGGAAGGGCCTTCAGCTAACACGAGCGCGTGGGGAAGATGCCGCTTTGACAAGGTCCCCTCCGTTTTCCCTAAATCAGGAGGCGCTTTTCTTTTAAGGAAATACGAACAATGACCCTCCTTAAGCTAGTCTGGGAAAAAGAAATATTTGGGGTTTTGCACAGCAAGGCTGGGACGCTCACGACGACCCCCCTGGTCCACACCGCGGGCGCAGCGAGCGGGGGGGCCGGGAGCCTGGGAGGGGCCCCGGGTCCAGGGGCCACAGGTCCCCGACGGGACGACGGAGCGAAGCGAGTGAGGAAGGCGCTTCTCCTTTGGTCCCGTCAGAAGCAGCCAGTTGTCCCCAAATCCAGGCCACGCGGCCCATGGCCCTTGGTCTTGCCCCCGACGCCTGTTCCTTCCTCGTCCAAGGCCCGGGATCCCCTCACCTGAGACGCGCCATTTCTCGGCTTCCAGACTCTGAAGCTGTCACACACCTGAGCACGGAGGACGCCAGCTGCCCTCCAGGTGCCAGCGCCCTGACCGCGTGACCGCACGCGAGCGACGAGGACGTCTCCCTGATTCTCCCGAGGGCCCGCGTGCCGTCCTCTCCAGACTCCACACCCGAGTCCCCTGTTCGCCCTGGAGCCCGGGGACGGCGACACCCGCGGGTCGCCGAGGCCCCGGACGAGGACCACAGGCGGGGCCAGGCAGGGCGTCTGCAGGTGCACGTCCTCGGGGAGCGAAGGCCGTGCCCTCGTGGACCCGTCTCCCTCCGGCTGCGGGCGACTCGGACACCTGCTCCGGCCTCTCGCTGCCCCGGGGCTGGGGCTCTGTGACCACCTGGGTGCCCCACCCTGGCACCACCCACCGCGGGGGCAGGTCCTGGCCGCCACGTCACCATGCAAGGTACGTGGAGCCGGGAACTGCGGATCAACATGCTCTTCTTGAAAGGGCGGGCGGGGGAGCGGGTAGCGCCGTCCCGAGCCGTCCAGGGGCAGGGCCTCCCGAGGGAAAACTCCCACCTGCTCCCGCACGGCCCTCGGGGGCTCCGGGTGCTCAGTCCCCCACCCGCCGGCGGCCGCTGCAGGGGCACCCGGGACGCAGGCTTTTCTCCAAAGAGCCACATACTAAGGTTTCAGGTCTCTCGGGCCACAGCCGCTCGGCGCGGGCACCGTGTGCAAAATGGCAGCGACTGTGAACACTCCGGCAGCGGCGGACAACGAAACTTCACCCGCAGAGGACGCCGCCGACGGGACCGGCCAGGAGCCGGTGTGCCCATCCCGGTCTCACCGGGGAGGAGGCTTCGGCCGAAACAAGGTCGCGTCTCCGTGACTCAGGCCTGGACCGGCCAGTGGCGGGCGGGGTGCAGGGGCCTCCGAGCTCTCCCGGTTCCACATTCCCGCGGGGCCGAGCGCGTGTGTGTGTGTGTGTGTGTGTGTGTGTGAGATGGGGGTGTGTGCAGGTCGGGGGGGGGGGAGGCAGGTGTGCCCGGGGCAGAGGCGGGGCGGGGCGCACCTGAGGGAGGGCGGCGCACCTGGCAGGCGCCTGCGGTGACAAGTCCCAGGAGTTCCTGGTCTCACCCCGATGCCCTTTTGACTTTGTCTCCTCCTGGTTCTGCCGTGTCCCCTACAAATCAGATAATCGAGTTCCTTAGACCTCGTCGGGAGGAGGCGGCTCCCGGGAGGCTCGGGGTCGCGCGCCCAGCCCACCCTCCGGAAGGCGCAGGAGGCGCACAGGCGTCGGTGGATCCCGGCAGACGCTGCGGCCCCTCGACGAAGCCAGGATGAGCCTTGGCACAACGAGCTCAGTTTTATTCAGGGGGAGAAGCCTCGGAGCTAAAAGAGGAAGGATCCAACGACGCCTGCGGGCCTCGGCCGCTCACCAGGAAGCGCCGGGGACGCTTCTCCGTGCAGAAGAGCGGAGTCTGTGTGACTCACCTCCAGATTCCTGTGGTTTATTATCCTTATTTCCAATTTGCTGGAAGACTCTCTCTAGGCAGATAACAGACGTTCCAGGATCCTGACATTTTAACACCCACGTGGCAACAAGCAGCAGCTTTGATGTTCAATCCAAACTCCGCGGCTGCTGGGTCTGACGGAGAAGCGGCCGTTAGGAGGTTCCCTGTCCCGGGTGCGTCTTAGGAACGTGCTCAGAACCACTTCTCCACGGGCGGCTGCGGCCCACGGACGTGCGGCACGACGCTCCCTTTCAATGAGAAAACGTGGAAAAATAGCGCAGCCCAGTGTGCTCCAGCCGCGTACGTCTGTGAGCGTCGAGGGCGGGTCAGAATCGGGGAGGGGGCTCCACAGTCTCCGGTCACCCCGGCGGCACCGGCCCCGCAGCCCTCGGCAGCCCCAAGCCCGGGCCCAGCTCAGAGGCAGTGGCGCGTTCAGCGGCCAGCACGGCGGCGGCGGACAAGTGGCTCCAGCAGCGCGGCTTCCTTCGGCTGACCAAGCACGTGACAAAGGACAACCTACGTAAGAGGGCCCTGCCTTAATTATTTCGATGACGCTTACTTGTTAGGTCTCGTTAGCAATCAGGCCTCGAATCTCGGGCTGAAAACGTGCCCCCTGCATCTCCACCGCGCCCTCGGCGTCGGCTTACGCGGCCCCCGCACACCAGACACGCAGGTCGGGCCGTCCCGCAGCCCATGCTCCGATGCTCGGCGCTGAGCGGTTTCCAAGGCCTCGCGGCACCAGGTGGCGCCTGGCCGCGTCGCAGGAGCCTCGGGGCCCAGGTCGGGGAACCCGCGGGCCGATGGGAGGTGGGAAGCCTCCACGCCGAAGAGGGACTTTAAGTCCCCAGTTGGGAACGTGAGCGCGCTTTCCGGCTCTCCGCCGAGTGTGCTGGGATCTTAGAGAAACCTGACAGGCGCACATGCGTGTGTCCATGAAAGGGCAGCACGTCCCCGATGCATGGGGCCCACGGGCCGGCCCCTGACGGGGAAGGACCAGAGCGTGGCAGCAGGGACCGCAGGCCTCGAGTGCTGCTGCGGCGGTGGCCACGCTCACGCATCCACGGGCGAGTGTGCAGCAGCCCCTCCGCGGCCCTGGATCACGAGGTGTGACGCCTTGAGGCCGCCTGCGCCCTTGGGCGGCTTCACCTGCTGCAAGGGAGGAGGCCGTGTGCGGGGCGGGCTCAGGCGTTGCCCCTGCCCCACGCGGAAGGACGTCCTCTGCTGCGGGGAAGCCGCCAGGGGCAGCGCGGCCAGTGCCCGGCGGGGGCAGGAGGGAGCGGCACGGCCCCCCCACCCCGCGGCCCCGAGCCTGCGGACGTCCACGTGAGGGGCCCACGGGCCACACGCCGGCCCCGTCCGACCGACGTTACAGCAGCAGGAAGGCAGATCAGCTTCTCTGCTCCTCGGCCGCCGGACCCTATAAAAGGCCGTTTGTGGGATCTCCCTTCATCGTGCCAAAATGTGACGAGTCAACCCCAATGCAGACGCACCTGCGTGGGGGCGTCCGTGTGGGTGGGGGCAGCGCTTCCCAGGGGGCTCCCTCCCACAGGCCCCGGACAGCCCCCAGTTCCCACGGACACCGCCTCCCCCCAGGCCCGGGCGGCGGGGCCCCCACCCCCTGGTGGGGTACCTGGGTGAGCAGCTGCTCCGGCGCCAGCTGGTTGATCCACCGCGTGTACCGCTCCGTGGAGTCGGGGGGCTCCCTCCTCACCTGACAACCGATGATCTGCGGAACCACAAGCCCGAAGGTCAGCAGCAGCTCCCACACCTGTGCATGCGTACCCGCCAGCGCCGCATCGGATCGGCCCGGGACACCCGCTGGGTGCAGGGGACACAAGGGCGCCAGGCGGAGCAGCACCCTGGAACCGCCCTGGGCCTGGAGCTGTCATGGAGGACGCCCCGAAGGTCACCGCCCGAAAGGTCACTCATCCAGGTGCTGCCGGCGGACGTGAGCGCGGGCGCGGAGTCCCACACGGAGCCCCACATGGGTGGCCCAGGTGCCCCCGATGACGTGAGGCGGGGAGGGCACCGCGCAGGCTCGGCCTCAGGGCCAACGCGGCCCTTGCGGGCGGTGACCTTCGGGGGCGGTGCTGCGGGTCCCTCCTGTGGCGAGTCCTCGGACCCCTCATCTGTTCCCACGTAAGGGGTGACGCGGTCCACCTCCAGGTAACAATGTGCCCGCCCTCAGTTTCCACCAGCATCATCTTTCCCGCAGATCACACGTCGCAGAAAAGCGGGATCTCCCGCGTGGCCTGGAGTCGGCCAGGCAGGACGGTCCCCGGGAGTTCCCAGGGCCACAGGAGGAGAATCGGGCCACGTACACCCTGCGAAGCTGCGTGCCAACACCTGGCACCACAGCCAACTGGTCCAAGGGTGACACGGCCGGGCCACTGCCACGGGGGCTGTACGACCTGCACCGTGGCCATCAGAGGGCGCACATGACCTGACCTGCTCCATCAGGGGGACAGACGCGGCCCTTCCCGCCACTCCCCAGCTGCACAGGGCTGCATGGGGGACACACGGAGACTGCATGGGGGTGCACGGAGGATGCACGGGGACGCGGCCTGCATTTGCTGACCGTCCCGGGGGCTGAGAGTCGCAGGAAGCCACGGAAACTAGGATCTTAGGCCGTCGTGTTCTCCCGCCACAGGCGGCCGGGGGCAGAACCACAGCCCAGGTGGTGCCCCGGGGTCACGGGGTGACGGCCTTCCTGAAGGCTGAGGGCAACCGCCCAGGACACGGGTCACGGGAGGCCCGCCCGCTGTGCATGGGAGCCCGCTGCCCGGGCGCTCGCTCACCGCAGGGTCGCAGAGCAGCTCCCACCGCGCCCGCACCCAGCACCAGGAAACCGGGGAGTCAGACGCCCCGGGCTGGACACGGACACGCGTGAGCAGGCTGTGCTCACAGGGTGGGTGTAACGCTCACATGTGCGGGGGCACCAAGGGACGCGTGCTCTTCCCCAACAGCGGCCACCCGGGGCACACGCATCCAGGACCTGGCGGGTTGGCCCTGCCGCGAGCCCTCGCCCTGGGCTACTGTGGGCAGAGGGTCCCACGGCGGCGGTTACCCCTGGGTGGGACGTGGGTGCACTGAGCACGGGCTGTGTGTGCAGACAGAGACCCCAGGCCCCCTCGGCCCCCTCCTGGAAGAGGCGGCACCTGCCAGGAGCACCCACCTTCCCACGGGGACTTGGTGCCCCCCAGGAAGGGTGCTCACAGGGCACGGCCAGTCACCACCGAACCCCCCCCCACGGTGCTGCCAGGGCCATGGTGGGGGACCCATCATGGGAGGCACGCGCGCTGCAAGGTTCTCCCGCTGGTCCTGCGGGGCATCCCCTGCCCTCCCGCACCCCGCTGCGCACCCACCAGGAGCCCCCCAGGGTCCCACCCCGCGCCCGTCCCAGAGCCCCGGCACGAGACACCCGGGACTTCTGCGGTTGGCCAGCAACGGGGGGGCTTGTGGAAGCGTCATCGTGTCACCCGCGGCCTTTGCTCCAGATCACGTGGCCTCCCTATAAACGGCCGCGGACAAGCATGCGTCCAGCATCATCTCCTTTCCGAACAATCGGCAGCGGACGCAGCCAGCCGCCAGCTGCAAGCTAAGACGTCTGTAGGTCAGGCCTCACGGGGACACGAGCCCGGCCCACGCGGCAACCTGCTGCCTTTGCTCTGGGCCAGCGAGACGGACGCAGGAGCCAGGCTGTGTGTGCGGGGACGGGGTGGGGACACCGCGCGAGCCAGGGGCCCGGAGCGCGGGGACGGAGCCCCAGGGGACGTAATCGCGGGGCCCACAAGACAAACTCTCACCTGCGACTTCACACAGAAAAGTGTGGGCCGACGTTTTCATTACGATTAAGCCACGACGACAGTCGGCGTTTTCCCAACTTCCTTACGCCCCTCGACTTAGCGGCCAGCGCACCTGCGCCCAGAGGACCGTCCAGCACACACCTGAGCCCTGTGTCTCCGCGCTGACGACCCGGGGTCACGCGCTTCACCGCCTGCCGCAAGGTGCAGCTTTCAGCCCGGCCGCCGCAGGCACGCAGCTGCTCCGGGTCCCGGGTCCCGAGCAAGGACAGCTGGCGGGGCCACCCTGGGGCCGGCGGGGTGCTGTCTGCGATGCTGCCGTTGCAGCTGCCGGGCCCAGGGAAGGAAGCTTCTGGAAGCCCAGTCTCTCCGTCCTCCTTTCAGACGTAAACCCAAGTCCCCCCAGACACTTTCCTTTCTTCTCTCCCCGACAAGGACACAGCACAGACGACACCCGCAGGCGGGCGGCGGGCGGGCCCAGGGCTGCACACCCTCCTCGCGGGACGACCCGCACCCTCTGCCTCTGGGTCCACCCGTGGGGCCGCAGCCCCTGGCCGCGGGCTGCCTTCCCGCATCGCTCAGCCTGGCTCACACGGAGCATCTCGGGTGGTGCGGCGGGAAGGGCGCTGCCGTGTGAGCCGGCCCCCCGAGTCCGGGCCGACGGGGCGCTCACGGGGACGCTCGCGGGGACGCTGGGGCCGGGCTGCCTGCCGTCAGGGGGCTCCAGTGGC